TTGTATTTGGGTAAAGTCGCCCCACCCCTTTGCCAACTGAGCTACATGCCAGAGGCTACTAACATTTCATTTATAATGCTCGTGATGTGAATGGGAGAAGGAAAGCAAGATTTAAGAAGGCAACATTGTCAACAATTATCAATGAAAGCACTGAAATTACAAAATCGAGGGATAATGTAATGAACTACTTACTCAACAGTCAGGACGACATTCATTTAGAAAAATTTAAACATTGTTGAGATTGGGGATTATCCACCTTCTGTTTCATATTGAGATCCTTGCCATTGATAGTTTTCCATCAATATTGTTTCCTTTTCTTATAGGATCCTTTCCTTCCTTTTGATCGCCTAACTCTACTATAAATATTGATGTAATGTCAAGTAATAAGAAAATTTGATTAACCATTCACAAATTTAAGATGGTATCATAGCGAAATCTGGAAATCGAAACCTAATTCTTTTTCTTGTCATTCTTCTTCCCGAAGAATGCACCATGGATATCACTTCACCTTATTTCCTCACCCCAGCTGATCATCGTGGACAGAACTTTGTTGGTGAAAACCTCCTTTGAGATGGCAACTACAACGATTGGGAGAGCGAGATGACAAATGCTTTGTTCGCCAAAGAACAAGGTAGGCTTTGTCGACGGCACCCTTGATATGCCAAAGGAAGGATCCCTGGATCTAATGATTTGGAAGAGATGCAACGCTATGGTGAGAGGATGGCTTGTAAGGGAGATGGAGAAAGAGATTAGAAGCAGTGTCAAGTATGCATCAAATCGTGATGAAGCACACTTGAGAACTGAATTTAGCGAAATGACCTCAAAAACTGAATTTAAAAATCTAACCCACTAGTGTATTTCTATGTTTTCACGGACAGGTCAGATCAACGTCAGTGAACTAATTACTTTTAGAAGATCATGCTCCCAATTAAAAGTCATTTATCGAAAGAACCTGGGGTGCATCGGATAGCAATGACAACTTCAATATGTACATGTGGAAGAAGCAGCTACATTGTTTTGTCTAACTTTAGAGCCCAAATTCATGATTTAAGAGCTCAATTTCTGGTTTGCCCCAATTTCATAGTTTTTGGAGATTTTCATTTTTATATATACCATCAAATCGTGTTCCAAAAGTTGTAGTTTTGGCTTGTATTCTGCAAATAATCATCAAGAAATAATAGTTTTCTCTCTAATTTTGTGTATTATCGATGTAGTCCACCAGAATGAATCTAATTTCCTTCCATCTAGCTTGTATCACCTCCACCAAATTAAGATTTAGGCTTTAGCCTTTATGTTGAAACATGCTTACAATCAACTCTAAAAGTGAATTGCATTTTAAATCTTCTCAATCTAGACAGATTTAGAAGCGAGCAACAAAACCCTACCAAATCGCAAACATAGTTGGATATGAACTAAAATGCAGCCACGATCGATCAAGAAACCAAACTTTCGTTTCTGGTTTGTAGGAAGAGCAAACTAAAATGCGATGAAATAATGGCGTATGATCCTATATATATATATATGTATATATATGTATATGTGTGTGTGAAAGAACAGGGAAAGATAGATCCTGAATCTGACCTGAAGTCCCTGATTTCCAAGCTTCACTCTAGGCATGTCGAATGTTAAACTACCATCCGCCATCGTTGCAGTGCTCCCTACGAGATTGTAGCGGGTCAGCTTAAGTGAGTGCTCACCACGATCCGCATAAGCAAACAAGGGAATAGATTACAGCCGCAAAATTCCCTTCTTTTTTAATTTTAAATTTATTTAATTTCTTGTTTTGTTAAACAAGAATGTTAAAAGAAAATCGTTGGGACGTTTAAACCAATTGAATCAAGTTAAATCATATCGTTTTTGACGGTTTGAATAGGTCTGACGGTTCTGTTCAGTATAAAAAATAGGAACGGACCCAAAAAAAATTCAAACAATGACACCATTTGACCATAAGTAAAAAACATAAGAACTTTTTTTCAAACAGTACCATCATTTGACTATAAGAAACAACAATTTTTTTTCAGACGGTGATATCATTTGACTAAGAAAATGACACTAATAGTATTCGAACTTAGGTCTGAGGTGGAATAGAAGTTTTGCAAATCAACTCGACCAAATAAAACTTGTTCTCATTGTAGTTTCAAAATACATACGGTGACACACAATAAATTAATACGGTTGCATTGTTCAAGAACCTAAATTTTTTACCCTTCGGTGGAGAAATAATACAATGGCACGTGCCACCTATACCACATAACTGGGTCCGTCCCTGTGAAAAATAGTCAAATCACTTAGTCCGATTCAGTCTACAATTTAAACTTTTTTAAGCGATTTAGACCAAACTGACTCTCAACATACACATGTATTAATTATATTTTATTTTTTATTATCTATGCACAAAGTTTATGGCCCAATTAGAAAAAATGTCCATCCAAGTTTAGTTTTCACTTCTGATTCTCAATTGTCTCGTTTTTTAAATCTGCAAAATTCTTAAATCCATCAAAAATCAAAATCCAATATTCCAAATAGTCTCTTAATTTGCTTAATGTTTATGCAAATTCGAACTATTTTTTGTAAACATGTTTAAGGGGCCGTTTACTAAACACTTACCCGGTAAGTGCTAACTTGGTAATTTTCCTTATCGGATATACATGACAAGAGTCAAAAATCTTACCCGGTAAGTGCAATGATAAAGATGAAGAGTCTTACTCGGTAAGTGAGGGTGACGACTCTTACCCGGGTAAACGCTTACCGGGTAAATTGTTGCATACGATACCATTTTGATATACTACAATCTTACTCGATAAAATAAATTACAGTGTTAACTCATAAACGGTAAGCGCTTACCGGGTAAATTGTTGCATACGATACTATTTTGATATATTATAATCTTACTCGATAAAATAAATTACAGTGTTAACTCATAAAGGTAAGCTCTTACCGGGTAAGCATTTAGGTAAACGGCCCCTAACTTTTTTTTCTTCAACTTGCTTAATTTTTTTAATGCTATATATATATATATATATGTGTGTGTGTGTGTGTGTGTGTGTGTGTTTTCCTAATAATTTGGTATAATGTTTCTTTTAATAGTGTTATATTGGTAAAATTTCATTTTTGAGATCGATGTTAAGTTTTTTAGTTTAAAGCCATAATAGGGTCAGACCACCTTGGTCAGACCAGACCGTTTTTTGGTGGTCATGTTTGACCGGTTTGGTCACTTGCGGTTTGGTTTGTGGTTTGGATGGTTAAGTTGTCCAAACTAGACCGCAAATACCCATCTATTTTTTATTCATGTGATTAATTGACTAAATAAGAGATCTTAAGATAAGTTGCTAAAACAGAGGGGGGAGATTTTTATCCCAAAAGTTACCCCATACCTAAGACTATAGATGGCCAAGAATCGTCCCAATTCCCGGTCTAAATCGGTCTCAATCCCAAACACTATTTTCATAACCGGTCCCGTCAAATAAAGGTGACCGATTAAGGTACTTTGTAATGGGTTATGAAAATCGGTCACGGGCTAGGTCCAAAACCGGTCATATGTATTTTTTTTAAAAATTCGACTTTTTACATAATTTTTTTGAATTTCTTTAGAGAATATAAAATGCTATTTTAATACATTTAAAAAATATGTAATTAGGTCAATCAAAACACTTGAAAAACGTTTTATTACAGTTTTTTATAATTCGTTTTTGATCAAATACACGAATTACAGCGACAATTGTGAACATTTTTTGTGTTTGTGAGTTAGAGTCTTTCCCAATACATAGACAAAAACTGTGAAGATTTTTTGGGCCCATAACCGCTCTTGAGATGAGTCAGGCCTTGTTTTTTGATGAAAACCGAAACCGGTACTTAACCGGCGTCCCAATTGGTGCCGCTCCCGGGGGCCCATTTCGCCATCTCTACCTAATACACTCGGAAGTTGCTTTCCACAAGCTTTATTATATTAACAATATTGGTTATCCTTTTTCTGTAAGCTGGTTTGGATATTTATGGTTACCCTAAAGAGAAAACTGAATATCTACTGTTAACAAATAATCTAAAGATACCAATATATCATGTTATACTTATATATTTACGTATAGACATAGATCGGTCAGGATCCAGAATCAATTATGTAAAATGACCAGTTAAGGTTTGATTGTAGTTAACAAATAATCTATGCTTATGTAATTTTAATATGATAAATGTGTAAAATGAATAATAAAAACTTAAGTATATAAAATCAGTTAATTAATTTGTAGGTATTCATTTAATATTTAATTTTATGATTAAATACAAAAGTATTCAATACTAAGCTTACTTTGAAAGTATTGACAAAAAGGATTGTAATGGTATAATTTGTAATATAAAAAAAAAAGAAACGTACTTTTTAATGCATTTAAGTTCATATACGATTATTTATGTTAATATGATAAATGTGTAAAATGAAAAAGAAAAAAATAAGAGATATAAGATAAATTAAATAACTAATTATAAGGGTGTAAATGTAATTTGAAAATTAAAAATATTTGATTTTTAATATACCAAAGATCGTGTGATGTGTAACTTTAAGAGCTTGCACATTATTCTTAACTAGAAGAGTACCCACGCAATATATCGAGATACATATTGATTTTAATATTTCATTTTATTCTTTACCTTAGTCGATGTTATAGTATGGTCTTATGTGATTTTGAAAAAACGATTATGTTTTTATTTTTGAATAAAATATAAATTTGAAGATATTATAAAAATTTGACAAAAATATATCGATATTAGTATTAAATTAACTATTCAAAAGATATTGTTTTTTTGTGTAATTGTTTAATTCAACTTTTTTATTATAATTTAATTTAGGTTTAATAACGAAGTAATTTATATTTGGTTTAATAATTTAATTTTCTTATAAAGATAATAATTAATTACTTTGTTAGAAGTCGATAATTATCCTAATTATATTTAGATTTTTTATATTTTAAAATATGATTTTTATCCTCTATTTGATTATATTTATCCGCAGTTAGTTTACACGAATTCAAACATGGAGCTTTAATAAGTTGTACTTATGCATAATTTACTTGTAATTTAGAATTTTAAGTAATTTGCATCAATATACAGTACTTCGTGCATAAAAAAATGGTTTTTAAGAGTTTATGTCAAATGTTTTATAATATAGTATAGATTAGTCGTACCTTCTAAAAATTCAAGACAACAGTAACTCCCTTTTATAAAGGAATATAAATATAGATTTGTCCATATTTATTATATTTTATAATATTATTAAAAATCAAAAAATATTTAATAATAAAATTTTGTAAAGTATTTGATGAGAAGATTATCATGGTATGCTTTGTAATAAACAAGAAATACGTTTTTAATGTTTTTATTTAATCTATGATTATGTATTTTTAATATAATAAATGTGTAAAATAAAAAATGAAAACGTAAAGATATAAAACAAATTAATTCATACGTAATCATGATACTTAATACTATCATTAAATCCAAAAATATTCAATATTGAACTAATTATGAAAGTATTGATGAGACGATTAAATCCATAATTAAATTGGATGCATACTATACTTCTGCATTTCTCAAATATTATTTCCACATCTGAATATGATAATATTTTTAAACTAAGAATTTATGATAATCTAATAATATCACTACTAGAATACTGATTATTTCCGGCGAGTTTTCCGGTGTAATAAGTATTTCCGGCGAGTTTTCCGGTGTAATAAGTATTTCCGGCGAATTGCTGCTGGAAATGCCCTATTTGGTAGTGAATATATGCTATTCTTATAGTTGCAATTTAACATTTACTTCTCATGATCCTTAAAACATGAATCTTATAATACATCAAGAATTACAAGTCAAAGTTTATAGAAATGTATTATTCATTTTTTTCCTTAATTATATATAAAATCCTTAATTAACTAAAATTCACATCAAAATTATAGAGTTGGTGTAATGCTTTGATAGAGACCCATGTCCATTCCATTGTAAGCTATGGGAGCATACATCCACATATCATCAGAACTCAGCAGCTGTAATAATTTAAAAAAATAATCAATAATTAATATTTATAAACATGAAATATGTTATTATAATATTATTAACATTTTGTTTAAGAAAAATGTTAATCTTAATTACCTGAATTTGAAGCTTCAAGAACTTCACATATTCTACTGCTTCTTCTAGCATTGTGCTAATGTCAACCTTTGTACCATTTGGTACAAGGTTCTGAAGGATTCTCAGTCTCTCATTTATCCTTTCTCTTCTTTTCTGCAAAATCACAAGTTCTCAAGATCATTACTAATCAGTACATCGAATCGTTAAAATGCAAAAAACAAGCGTTATCAAGTGTTGTTTTCGTATCTTTAAGAATCGAACGTTATTACTTACCCTTGCGTAAAGGCTTTGGGGATCAGTCGCGGTGCCTCTACTGGCTCTTGTTTTGCTGTTTCTATTCAAATCTTGTGATCCATTTAAATCATCACCAGAGCTGCAAGAACTTGAAGTTTGTCCGTTCGTTTCTCCGTTGTTGTTGTTGTTGTTGTTGTTGCTCTTTTCTGTATCATCAATCTTCTGGTTCTTTTTTGGTTGCACATTTTTCTTGTTTTTCTATTAGAAACCATACACAAAACAATATTCTATTAGATTTTCCTAATTGGGAGGATACTTTTTTGTGTTATAATATGTTCTTGAAGATAAACAATTGGTTCCACATTCTCACAATTACACATAAAATAATGATATACTTACATTAACTCGACTTTTCTTCTTGGGGTTCTTATCAATTTTCTCATTGTTGACTTCATCTTCCATGGCATCAGATGATTCGAGCATTTCAAGCTTCCTCTTGCCGTGTGAATTCTCCATTTTAACCTTTTCTGCCACTACATCGTCAGAAAAAACTGGGGATGATAGCGATGAGTTGTTGATCTCGTCCATCATACAAAAACCGATGGACTGATCACACACGTCGTTTGATGGTGAAGGAACAATACTATTAGAAGGGAAGAACTGGAAACTTTGATCATGGCATGGATAGGGAAGAGAGACGGTGCCATTGCTGGTGCCACTGCTACTAATGCTACTTTCTTGAGAGAGAAAATGGTAGAAATTAGGGTTAATGAGATCAGAAACATAGACGAATGAGTCTTCATTGCTAAAGACATTGCTAGGAACTTCGAAATTTAAACCATGATCATCATGTTCACTGGACATGAACTCATGCCCAGTAAACCGATCAGAATCTTGATCATGGTCGACGAAGATCCTGCTTAAACTGTGCCATTCTTCGTCGAAAAAGTTCCCGAAAGACTCCATCTCTTTCTGTTTTAGGTTTTTACTTTTGATGATCAAGAGAATGTTGTGGAATGAGTTGGGAGATTGAGAAAAGAGGGAACCTATTTATACCCTTTTTCAAGAATGTTAGTGAGGATTGACTTGATTAATTAAATGCTAATCATAGAGGTATGTGGGTAATACACCATTTGAAAATCAAGAGTCCACTGTAGGGCCAATCTAAACACAGGCTAACTACAACTCATAAGTAGGACCCAACCATACAAAAATTCTAAAAAATAAACATTTTGTACAAGTACTTTTTTTTTTAAATCTCGCTGCAACAAAATCGGGTTTATAGAACCAATGGCGGATCCAGGATTTTGGTTCAGTGGGGTCACCTTTAAGGTAAACTAAAAACCCGCAAAATCGCCCGATGTGTTTTTAACCTAATTACAACGTTTTCGAGGGAATTTTAAAGTTTTTTGGTTGATTTCAAGGGATTTTTTAGTGTTTTTGTCGATTTCGAATAACTGTTTTGGTTTTTTTGATTGATTTCAACGGATTTTTTTTGTTAGAGTAATGGTTTCAAGTGAGGTTGGGGGCCCATGGAAAAATGTAATAGAGGGAAGTGAAAGGTAAATCATGTAAAACCTAAATTTTAACCTATGATTTTTTTTGAGTTTTTGACTGGGGTCCCTTCCCCCCTCATTTTTGCCATTGCATCCGCCCCTGTATATAACACTCCAAATTTCTAAGCGTCCTAATACACCTCTTTATAAGACTTAGGGGTGTTTGAGATTGCTTATTTGAAACAACTTATATTTTTTTACAAAAGTCCTTATCAACTTATTATGAGTTAGAATGGTTTAACTTCTTAAAATACTCCTTAAACCGGTTTGACACCGGTATAAACTGTTTATCCAAACACTCAAAAGTGCTTATTACTGATGTCACACCGAAATAAGTCAATAAGTTGTCTTTATAAGTTATCCCAAACACCCTCTTAGTTTATAGGACAAAAAAAATAAAAAGTCCTATCTAAAGGCGTTGTACTAAGTTTATATGACGTTTTTTGACGTCGAAATAAGTTTTTTAGGACATTGTTAATATAAAACGTCCCATTAGCAACTTTATAAAACATTATTTGAAAAAATGTCCTATAAAAACAAATGTCCTATAAAAAATTGAGTTTATAGGACACTTGATCAAAAGTATCCTATAAAGTTGCTAATACGACACTTTATATTAAACATGTCCTAAAAAACTTGTTAAGACGTCCAAAGCGTTATATGAACTTATTACAACACCTTTAGATATGACGCTTTATATTTTGGTTCTATAAATTAAGTCCTATAAATCGATCTATTGAGACACTTAGAGATTATGGGTGTCCTATAAATCCAATTTTATTGTAGTGTCTGTTTTTTATTTATTTGAAATTAATAATTTTGATTAATTTTTTATAGTTTATTTTAAATTTTTCTAACAAGATACATATGCCAATTATGTTTCTTTTTAAATAATTAATTAAATATTATATATTTTTAATCTAGAAGGGATGAATATAAAATAGATGCCACCCTTCTTTATGATGAAAAAACTATATTAAAATTTCATAAATTATGTGAAGATGATGGAGGGTCTTATGAGTCGCAAGCTCAATCATTGGATGATGACTACCTCTAATTAATTAAACTCTAATTAATTAGTTTTAATTAATTCTTCACTACTTTATTTGTTTGAGAATGAATTAATATTATATCGTTGTTCGATAATCATATTGATTTTTGTTGTTTTAAAAATAAGAATGTTGATTAGGTACATTGTCACAGTTTACTTTTTTCTAGATCATGTGTAACAATTCGTCTTACATGTATACAACTACAAGATTAGATTTTTTATTAGTTTAGATTTATGGGTGGTTAGTAGTTTTCAATGGTACCTTAAGTTGATTTGGATTATTGGATTGCGGACAAATGGTATCCTAGTGAATTCTTGTACCATCGGATGGTGGGGATATGCTTATCATAGTACTTAATTATGCTAAGATGAACTCGTTAAGCTTTATAAGCTGATATGCATCATATACTTCAGGAGACACGTGCACACGACCTAGCAAGGGGAAGGGTTTGGCTTAATCCATTATTAGATCATTAAATTTCATTTATTATGTTGTAATAACTAGTTTATTGAAACTTTTATCATTTAGTTTAAATCAATGTTCTAAATGACGTAAAGTGTTGCATGGTGGCAAAGCCAAACCTTAGACTTTGGGAGCGAGGACGAGGCCACAACGGTTTTCATGCCGTGGCTTGTGGTGATGAATCTATATATTATATATAATTATAGATGTACATACACACGTATGTTTTTGATAATACTCAAATGAGTCACTGATATTAAACAATTTATTTTATGTTATATACTAAAAAAATTAGACACGAAAAAAGTAAGAAAAAAAACAAATATCCTATTACAAATCTTGCATCGGATCATGACGTGCTACAGACTTAACGTGACATGAGATACGAACTATAAACACACGGGAGTAGTTAGTAGGGGGGCTGGCTAGTGCTCAGCCACCCCCGAGCACCCATGTTAATAACATAACATGTAGTAGAAAGCAAAACACAAATAGTTTATATAGCTATTTTTGAAATATCTAACAAAAACTTAGGTTCAAGTTCGATGGTTTCATTTTTTGTCACTTATCTTTTTTTTAATCATTGGTTACAAACGTAAGTTGTGCGAGAAGGGTAAAAATAAGATTTTTGGAAATTGACAAAGTAATATTTCCAATCAATTTTTCTTTTTGTTATTAAAATTTTTAATGGCATGATTTCTTAATATTTACCGTTATTATTAACTACATTTCTATATTTCTTTCCCATTCATTTTTTGAAAATACATTATTAAATTAAAATAACTAAATCAATACTGATATCATTGTTTAAAGTACAAAAATATATAAATCAAGGTTTTAACAAAAGTCGTTTTTTGGACCATAATAAATATTCATAATGTCATTTATTATCTCCTAGATAATGGAACATGTTTTTCTTTTATATATATATATATACACTATATTATAAAGCATTTGGCTAAAACTCTTAAACTCTTAAAACTCTTAAACTCTTAAAACTCTTAAACTCGTTCATCCCTAAACAATTTCATCCCTATCCGATTTCATCTCATAACTGAATTCGTGTAACTAACTGTAGATAAACATAATCAAATACAGGATAAACATCTCATTTT